TTTTTTATATTGGCCTGTTTGGCTATCAGTATCTCATTTTTTATTTTATATGTATCTAATCTGTCTCTTAAGATTTCTCATTTGTCTTAAGGAAAATTCTTTCCACTTTTAGCTTATGTGTCTGTCTTCTGTGTTCCCTTTCATTTTCATTCTGACAGTAAGACAGAATCCACTCTAGTTTCCTGTTGATTTATTGATTTCCAGGGGCAGTGCTTTAATTTTAGGCCTTTTAAATTGCTTTCTTACCCTTTGGGTTTGCAATAGTTTCATGAGTATTTTAACTAACTCGACTTAAGGAATTGGCATATTTTCACAATAATAAGAGTGAGCCATCAGTTCTTTTTGTGTTTTAATAAAATCTGACACCTTTTCTTGGAAAAACTTATATTTGGGTCTCATACATAGTTTATAAACCTAGAATTCATATGAGACCACATATGACCCTGATTCGTACGTCTTGGGACAACCACATGCATTAAGGTTGAATATTTACTATTCCTGTCCTCACTGCTAATCTCAAATGGAAGCAGGGGTAGTTTATTCAGTGTTGTCTACTTTGCACTAACAAGTTAAAGCTAGAAGCTCATGCCTAATTGCTCTGCTGGACTTATTGAAATCAGCAGCTTAAAAAAAAAAAAAAAAGTAGGGCATGTTATGTTGTTCAACATGCATAGGGAGGATTGCATTCAGCTTCATCATCTCTTGCAGTAAAAGGTAAAGCTAAATATATCCAATGGAATATCAAGATCTCATACTGCAAAGGCCATGGCTATTCATCTACATCCACCAATGAGATCCCCAGGCCATTTGAATAAGGTTCAGAGGGCACACCTCAGTTGAAGAAGTTGAAGACTTCTCACACACCTCTCCAAAGAGAAGCAGAGCTGTTCTTAATGAATTTAGTCAACAGAATGAAGGTTGGTTGAGTGCTAAGGTAGGGTGACTCCTGAAAGGTAGGGAGAAAGGGATGATTAATTAACCATCATTTATTTTTATGAAAACAGAGTCAAAGAAAAGGAATATATGATTATTTTAATGAAGTCAGAGCAGGGAGAAATAAAGAACAGAATGGTGGAGTGTACTTTTAGGGTAGGACAAGAAAATATATTAAGACAATCTAAGCTGACAAAGTGCTGTCTTAACATATTTCCTGACACATAGTGTTTAATATATTCTAGTATTTTAATATGAAAATCTATGTCTTAATTTTTAGTCAGTTACAAAAATAATTTACATTCTGCAGTTTCCTATCCCTTGTGACCCTTTTATTGCCTGTCTTGACTAGAAACAATGACTCTTTAGCTCCAAGGTAAGTAAAATTAATTTATGAATAAACTTTAAAAAAAATAGGCAGTGACACTAGTCTTTCATTATTTTAATCGTCAGAGTCACTGAAAACTAAAATTCATAGGTAAATACAGACATGTTTGCCATGTCTGTCTCTGCCTTTGTTTTTTTCTGTCTTCTCTAATGGCATCTATCTAATAAATACCTGAAAAATGTATGCTGTGGAGTCCTCAGAACAATCTCAGTACAATAGTAATTGCAAAGTCTAATCTGGAATACCTTCACCGTTTTTTGGACAACGTACTATAAAAATGGTATAGAAGTTAAAATATCTAATTGGAAAATGTTATATTGACCAATTCTTAACAAATACCATCATTTAACATATCACTCAAAAAGATACAGATCACAGACTAAAGTAAACATAAAATAACTATAGTATAAACTGTTTCAAAAATCTAGTCTTATTGCTGCCAGTCTATCAGAAATATGACTACACTGTTTCACGCAATTGAGGTGCGGGGGAGAAGGGGAGAGAGAGCAAGAAAGGACTGACTCCTAACCTACTACAGTGGTTTTGCATTTCTGGCTACCTATTTCCCCATGTTGACTAAGAAAGAGAGAAAAAATATCCTAGTTAGTATAAGTCAGATATTGTCTGAAGAAAAAAAAAATATTGAAATTGCATTCACCTGTTAGGAAACTAAGAATCAACAGAGAGAGAGAGAGAGAGAGAGAGAGATGTAGAGGTTAAGAGCTTAGGTCCTGAGATGAAGAGTCATAGTTCAAATCCTGGCTGTTCAATTGTAATCTCTGTGGTAGTGTGAAAATCACCTCTCTGTGCCTTACATTCCTTAACTGTATGTTGTTAGTAGCTGTCTCAGAATAGGTTTTATGGTGTATGTAATAGTGTCCATAACATATTTAATCATATCTAAGTGTTTGTCAACATATTTAATCATATCTAAGTGTTTGTCTTTATTTTAAGTAATAGTTCATTATTATCTTATTCTCTGCAGCAAAGGTGGTATAGGAATCTGGCATGTTTGGGTTGAGTTCTTAGTCCTGGTGAAATAACACAGTTGTACTATGCCAGTTTCATAGGTTATCACTGATCTGCACCCTAGTGCACAAGATCCCCCTTCACTTTGTTGCTCTTCACAAAATTACTGCTCAGAACTGCATGTAGTTCTGAATTTTATTGAGCATTGGGAGATATTTTCTGATTATCATTGCTATATAACAAAGACATCACCCATCTTCTTAAAAAGTCTTTTATTCATTCTCACTAACCATCAGGATGATGTGCCAGTTACATCATCTGCTTTTTAAAATAACTTTTTTATATAACTTTTACGTAAAGCAACTTTTTCTTTTCTCAAAATGCACTTATATTTGCTTTCTAATTATTCAGATATGTACATATCTTACTTTCAAAATTGTATTAATTCAATTTATCAGAATAACAACATTTATGGAAACCATTCAAACAAATAATAAAATACAGACAGTGGCTGTCAAGTGGCCTTTTACCCGTTACTCTTACTTAATTTTAAATGTTGAACTGTGTGAGTGGGAGAAACAGAGTTCCTAATACTTTTTTCCCCTCCTTTTCCCCCTATTACTTTAGAATAATTGGTATTCATTGGAGGAATGGTTTGCTATATAATTTACAGGGCTCAGTACAAAATGAAAATGCAGGGCCCTGGTTTGGGGCAGGAAATCAGTTTTCCTCCAGAGCCCACCACCCAACCTATGCACACCTCCAAGGGATTGCAGCTTCCATGCTGGGATGTACTCAGTATCTGGTTGGGGAGTGTGTAAAGAGTTCCCCATCAAATCCCCTTGGAAGGTACCATTTGAAGAGCCTAAAATTAAGTCCTCCATTAAGAGCAACCTCAGGCTGCACATAGCCCCAGTTCCTCAGAATGTTCAAGGCTAAAGCCGTCCTTGGACCGCCCTCAGATCAGCTAATCAAAAAAACATTCCTATGGTCTGAGTCAAGGTTGGGAACTGCAAACAGTTATTTTATACAAACTAGCCAATTTCTCACCGCTTGCCTGAACCCCAAGTGGGCCCTTTGAACTCACCTCATAATTGGTCATTTTCAAAGGATTCTCAAAAGTCATGATTGGGTCCCACCAAAAGTAATGAACACCTCACAGATACTGAATGGTAAAAGCTGCTAACATGGGTTCTGTACAAATGTAATTGGTGCTTATGTGATGATGCTATACATACAACATGTGCACCGTAACACCCCAGTCCCTTACCCCATAAAAACCCTGTTTGCTATTGTTCTTTGCTTCACCCAGCTGCCACTACACTGGTAGACAGGTGAGCCCCTGCTCGAGCTTGTAATAAAGACTCTTTTGTATTTGCATCTGTGCCGGCTCCTTGGAGGTCTCTGGGACTTGCGATTTGGGCACAACACATTCAGCTACCTGCCAGAGTCAGGGAGGCTGCCACCTTGCCCAGCCCCAGACACTGCAAGATTCTCAGTTAAATCTAACCCTACCCACTCCAATCCTGCATTGTCTGATAGGACTCATTTCCAAAACACAAATTCAAAAATAAGTTTTAAATGATGACAATAGAACATGAAACCCCAAGTTCAAGGCCTTTTTAAGTACTGGACGCTGTGCGACTTCACTAACCAGTGGAGCCAATCCTGATTAGAGGAGTTGATAAAGAGTTCAAATACAATTCCTTTGGAAGAATTACACTGCTGTCCATACTTAATGCTGATTCTTAAGGAGAGCTCAAATTTCTCTAGTAGATGCCCACTGAGATCTTTAACTCAGATTGTAGAAGATGGACTGGAAACTTGCCATAAGGCTAGTTGCCTAAATAGGAACATTGGGGGATATAAAAATGTTTGGCAGATACAATGGAAGAAAATGATATTCCAGATCAAGTAAATAGTATTATAAAAATACCAGGGAAGGGAATGATAAAATAAGTTTTGGAAGAAAAACAACGTTGACATATATTATTGGATTAAAGAAGAAAGGTGGGGAAATAGTGGGAGTAAGAATGAAAATAAGTTAGCACTTGATTGTAAATACTTAATATTTAAATTGAAAAATATGTTTGAAATTCAAAAGCAATCTGTTAAAGAGAAGTGATATATACTGGTGTTGATTGGCATAGATTTTAATTTTATTGACAAGAATTTTCTTCCCTGATGGTGATTTTGAATTAACTCAAACCTACTTCATGTTCACAAAGCTTGTTTGCTAAATTTCAAACTGTCAAGGAGAACTGTATTATAAGTGGGGAAAACTAGGAATTAGGAACCTGAATACTAACATTTTGGGGATCTTTAGAGCATTTAGGTAGATATAATCCTTGTAAAGGGGGTATTCTTGGGAATAATAGCCTAGAGCAAGTGTAAATTTTCAAGTCCATACAAGAACCAACCCAAATTACAAACATATGAGAATATAAAATGAAAAACATCAATGTTGAAGTTAGAGAATATCAAAAAATTAACTCCAAACTTTGAGGAAATTCTGAAATTCCTGACAAAAGAATTATGTGGTAAAGGGGAGAGGTGTCCCTCCATATCCCAATGTTTAAGGAGCAAGAGCTGAAGACATAGTCAAGGAAGGATAGTAGGAAAAACAAGAGATGATTTTAACCAACAATGTTTTAAAACCGAAGGTGAAATGTAAGTTATGGCAGAGCACACATGGAAATAGACACACGTGGTATGGAGAGTAGATTTTTTTCATTGATATTTTCACCATTGTGTTTAATGTGTCCACTCAAAATTAGAGCTGGCAAGCAAATCCCATGACAGGAAGATTTGCAGCTGAATGGGATCTCATGCTCCTTCAGGATGTTAGAAATTTCAGTGTATCTTCATGGTAGTCCTAGAATATAATCAGATCAGAGTCACATCAGCTGCTAAAATTCCTCTATTCCTCTACTGAAGCTGTGAGTTCCAATCCCAGCACTTTAGGATCCTGAGTGATTAAATCTGTGAAATAAACTAGTTTCATATGCCCCGTTTCATAGGCAGAATTGTGTCCCTCCAAATTCAAATGTTGAAATCCTAACCCCCAGTATCTCAGAACGTGTCTGTATTTGGAGACAAGTACATTACATAGGTGATTATGGTTAAATGAAGTCATTAAGGTGGGTCCCAAACCAATATGAGTAACGTACCCTAAAAGAATATATTAAGACACAGACATAAGGAGGAGAAACAGGTGAAGACAGAGGGAAAAAGTTAATCTACAATCCAAGAACAGACATCTCAGAAGAAATCAACTCTGCAGACATCTTGATCCTATACTTCTATCTTGCAAAAGTAAGAAAAAATAAATTTGTTGTTTAGGCCATCCAATCTGTGACAATTTATTATGAAAATGTTAAAAAAAATAAGCCCCTCCTACATAAATTCTAAGATTTAGGAACTGTAACTAGAAAAGGTTAAAGGGTGTTCAGTTGATATCCAGTTATATGCTAGGTTTAGTATAATACATGTTTTGAATATACTTACATTCAACTATAGTATTCCCTCCCAAAATATCTTATTGTACTGTCCTCATCCTTGTGATGATGTGAGATGAAAAAATGCCTGCATGATTAGAGGAAGTGTGGTGAATGATGTGTAGGCATTGTGACATACCATTAGGCTATTATTGATCTTCTAACAATAAGTCAGAGGAGGACATCTGCTTCTGTACTATGGCTGACCAAGGGTAACTAAAACTATGGAAAGTAAAACCTTGAATGGGTGGGGCGGGTGGGACTACTTACTGTATATTTCACTGCGGGGTGGGGGGGTGGGGAACGTCATGAAAGAGAAGTTTCTGAAGAGATAAACAGAACATACTGAATATAGTTGATGGTCATTTTTCAGATCAGTTCATTAAATTAGAGGTAACAAATAAAAACTCTATTTCTTTGAAAATTAAAGAGCCCTTTATAAAATATATTCCAGATGATTCTAGGCTTTCAGCCTTTAATGGATGCCATTTATGTCTAAATAAGAACTCTTTAAATCATCTTTGAATTTTTCTCTTTGAAATTTTCTTTGAAATTTTCTGACTAATATTATTTTGAATTTCAGGAGGATTCAGTATTAATAGGAGATATATATTAATGGTTAGTTCATTTATAAGCTTGTCTCACAAGTGCTGCTCATCTGAAGCCCCCTTTTGAAATTTCTTCTCTGTCTTCTTCATAATTACCATTTTCCCAATAAAACATCATTTATTCTCCATAAATACCATTAAAGAAAACTAGTGGTGTAAATGTCTTTTAGGTATGGAGCAGCAGATGATAACAATACAGGTGGCAAGAAAAACTTTATGTTCTAAATATCACTATCCTAAAATTAGATGTCTATTTCACATAAAAGATAATTTCTCCCTGACCCTTTATTTGTGTCTTACTCTTGCCTCTTAGGATAACTTTGTCCAGCATAAACCGTCACCTTCCCTCTCCTCCCCTCCACAGAAAATCTGTTTCTTATGTAAAGAAATTGACTTTTTGTAAAGTAAACACCTTCTATCTTGGTTATGCTTAGAAGGCCTCATCTTTCATGCTCAACTATCCCATTATTCTGTTAAGGTACTTTACCTTTACCTAAGACAAAGTGAATTGCTTTTCCAAAGAGGAAGTTACTTTCCCTGGTAAATCAACTAAATCAATTGGCATGCAGCTTTTCCTTTTTTGTTACTTTTTAACAATGATTAATAAGAAGGTAAGACAACAATATGAAACTAATAGGGAACTATCAGAGATAAAATAATTCAAACCAAAAAAATAAAATTCTTCTATAATGTCCTTAGAAGTAGTATAGGAAAAAATGTAACAATGATTGGATTACTGCTATGCATAAACACACAGAGAATTTATTAAAGTTCTAAAGAAAACAATAAAGAAATAACATGAATAAAAGAAAAAAATAATTGATACATGAAAAAGCCAGTGTTTAAAAAAATTTAATACACTTTACCTGCATGCAATTCACAGTAAGGCTTCTGATGGGTCATAATCTTGATCATCATCTTTGTTTCACTCTCATTAGATGGTTTAGGGAATGACTCCCATTAAAGCTGTTCTCCTGGTTTGGATGTAATCCTTGAAAAAAGGTCAGGAGAATAATAATTATCCTGCATTAATTGCTACCTGCACCTCACAACAGTTCTGCTGCTAGCATGATGATACTTTTGTATCTTTATTCTTCCCAGATTCTGCAGTGATCTTCCCATGGCAGTGTGTTAGAGAAAAAACAAAAACAAAAAAAAAATGTCCCATAGCCTACTCTCTGAACATGGTGGTAAACAACTGCTAGCATAGACCGTGGTGGTAAATGATTGCTGCTTTTCCTCAATCATAGGCAACTCTCTCTACCTAGATTTTCTGTTCTTTATCAGCTTTTAACATTCATTCATGCATATCTCCAGATCTGAGCTTGAGCAGGGAATCAACAGTACACATTAATTTCCACCTTTCCATTTTTTTCTGGTTTTGCATACATTTAAAGTTGAAGAGATATTGTTAATTGTCCACCTTCTAAAAATCATAGCTAGCCAAGGACAAAAAAGCCCTATTCTGTGTTGAAACATCACGTTGTACACTTGAACCCAATATAAAATTAAAGTCGTATGTCAGCTGTGCTTCAGTTAAAAAAATTAAAAAAACATACTTGGAAAAGTAGTGATCCATATCACTTGACATACTCACGTAGAAATTCCAAGGAACATTCAAGAGAAATATTTTGGACATGATTTATGTTGAAATTGTCTTAAGGGTTCTTTTATTTAGATATATCATTAGATTTTCGAACATATTGTGTGGTGCTTAATCTTGGTATCAGTAAAAACCACACCTTATGTTTCCAATGCCCAGGCATTTATTTTTCTTTAATTTTTTTTAACGTTTATTTATCATTGAGAGACCAAGAGACAGAGCATGATCTTGGGAGGGGCAGAGAGAAGAGGAAACACAGAATCTGAAGCAGGCTCCAGGCTCTGAGCTGTCAACGCAGGGGTTGAAATCACAAACCATGAGATCATGACCTGAGCCGAAGTCAGATGCTCAACCCACTGAGCCACCCAGGCACCCCCATTTATTATTGTTTTAATTTAACTTACTTTACTTTGAGGCTGAAATTCACCATTCCATGTTCTTTTACCCTCTCTATATATCATGAAGCTTCTTTCTCTTGCTGTTGCCAACTATAGGAATTACAAATGTAATTACTGTGGCTACTATTTCATTTTGCATATAACTTAGCAAACGTACAGATTTAGTTTATAACTTTTTGAGAACCATAAAATTAATTCTTGAACAAATTCAGTACGTTGAGTATATTTCCTATTATTTTTTCTCTAATACTTTTGTCTAATAGGAAAATTAGGAGTTACTCTGGTGACTCCCCTCAATATTTTCTCCTAAAAATATTGTTCATTTGTAACATATTTATTTCCATAGGCAATTTTGTTTCTGTCACATAGTAGGCTCCAGATTAGGCTGAAGTAGGTACAAGTTTTATTTAAATCATTTAACAAAGAAAGGCGCCTGGTTGATTCAGTTGGTTAAGTGTCCCACTCCTCATTTCATGATCTCATGATTCCTGAGTTTGAGCCCAGCTATCAGCACAGAGGCTACTTGAAATCCTGTCACTCCCTCTCTCTCTGGTCCTCCCTGCTCACTAGCGTGCACGCTTTCTCTATCAAATAAAAAAATGATTAAAAATTTAAAAACATAATGAATTATTTAACAAGGAGAAGCTTGAAATGGAAGTTGTGTTTTCTTAGAAATTATTAGATCTCTCCAGATGCCATATTTAAGAGCAAAACACCAGAATTATTCCAAATTTCTAATGAATTATTGTCCAGTAGATTAAAAATAGATCTGACAGAGCATGATGCAAAAATACTAAAATTACTGAAAAAAAAACAGGAGAAATAGACATATATTCCACATTATTAATAAGCTTTTGAGCAATTCTTTTCTTAAAATGATTATTCCCCTCTCATTTTAAAAGAATAATCCAAGATTTAGCAAATTATTTCTTTGTGACTTAACAAAGATATATGTTGCCAAGGGAATTTGAGTAATGTTTCTTAAGAATTACTTTCAAATATTCTCTGGATTTAACACTTTCTCATAGAGACCAAACTTTGTGTAAAAATATAATGCAGATATCCACAAAACTTGCATAAAATTTTGGATGTTTATGGGCCTTAGGTTAATACCATCTTCTTGGGAGGCAAACTTTTTGTATACTTCAGGAAGAAACTTTAGAAAACCTTACACTGTAAACCCACAGAGTAGTGGTTTTGGTTTTCTGACATCTGTGAAATTGAGCACTACTTAGAACTATATTAATAATGGTTTATCCACTTAGCCGTCCTCCCTTCCCCCAGTTCTCAAAATTGGTTAGCTTCAACTAGACCCCATTTTTGTCTCTTAGGTGGTTTCATCAGCTTTCAAGAACCACTAAGAATGACTGTCACCTCTTCTATAAAAAAAATCTTAAGTTCCCTTAACTTGAAGTACCAAAGTTCAATAGTAAGTGACTTAGCCATCAAACCAATGTGACAGTGTCAAACATGAAGCATTTTTTGTAGAAAAAATAATATAACTAGTTCATGTCTTGTAGTACTTGAAAAGCCTACATTATCAAAGTTATATAGGAACTTAAAAGAAGAAAATCCAACAACTTTCAACTTTAGAGAAGCAAAAAATGTAGAAGAAATTCAGGTTTTGTTTATATGTAACAACAATGAGCAGGAAAACGAAAAATGTAATCAATTAGTTATGTATAGGGGTACATGTGTACATATATGGATAGTTTTAGCATTAAATGTCAATCCTTCAATACATGAATACAAAAAAAATCCTCTGTAGGAGGGGTTAGAGAACATTCTTGGATAATTAAAAGGTAGTCTCATTTCTGTCTTTTCATTTAATATGCTACCCTATATGACAGACTCACCTCATTTGTATATTGTTTTCTAATTCATCAAGAACTGATCTATTTATGATTCAATATTAATGAGGTTCCACTATCTAAAGCTATAATCCCTAAACATCTGTCATCATGTTATGGCTTGAATTTTCAACATTCTGTTTCCTGATTCCAGAGCCTCATGGATTCTTGCTACATTTCTTTTCTTGGATGCTGAGCAATATGTCTAAATCCTTCTAATTATTGCCATTTTTATTGATATAGCTAACTTAAATTTTTATTTATTTTCTGACGATAGACTATACTTTATACACACACATACATATATGTATATGTCTGTATGTGTATGTATATACATATATATACCACATTAAAAATTATACTTTTTCCTATTGGAATCTTATAAATGGGCTCAAACATTGAGGTAAAGGATTTTCATAAGAGAATGGATGTCCCTGCTCTTGGTCATCCTGGAAAATAGAGCAGAATATGAGGCAAACATCTGGATTACAAGAGTAAACATCTTCTCCTATATCAAGTCCAGGTTTTAGAGAAGTATAAAATCATAAGCGGTTCCAATGGAAGGAGAGTGATATGGCCCTGGGCATATATCTCAGAATAGCAATTAGAAATTAGTGGTACCACTGTCCTTTTTTTCTTCCAGTAATATTGGCATAAAAAAAATCTGGCAGCATCATCAAATCAAAATGTATAAGCATCCTATTTTTGAAAAATTCTCAATTGGAATCAGTGTCAAAGGAGTAGCCCAGCTGAGTTGAAGATGCAGTCTCCTTGGGGAGAACGAGGAGAAACTAAGACTCCTTTGGATATACAGAGAGCCATGCCCTTTCTTCAAGATAGGAATAGAACAGGGTGGTATAGCATGAGTCACAGAATTGCCCGGCTTGCAGAGTGTATTTCTTCATGGGGTAATCAACAGTCATGGCAATGTCATGACCAGAGAAGAATTGGAAAAATTTTCTAGAGCATATTTATCAGAATTAATGTATTCTGCCACTGACCCCTCCTCCTATACAGGATTATGTCCAGTAAGCATTACATACATAGATTACTAGATAAGGAAATCAAGAATCAATTTAAAATAATTTTGGCAAGAATTTGAAAAAATTACGTGGGTAGAAAACATGGGGAGGGCTGAGGGCAGAAGAGAAGCTTCCCTCTTTTAACTCAGATTTAAACTTCATAATCCCTTTCTTTGTGTCAACCTACACTCTAGCTTCTATGTGCAACAGCTCAATACTGGCTCATCTTCCAAGTGAGATGATTTTTTATTAAGCATATGGAGGCATAGTTACATGACAGCAAAATTATAGTCACAAGATACAAATATATAAGCAGATATTCAATAATGCAACATTTATTCTATGGTATGAGTTCAGTTCCAGTTGGCACATTCCCTTAGTGTTCAGAATTTAATATAAAGTGGGCTTTATTATCTTTCTCAGAATTTTTATCTGTCTTCATATTTTCCTTATGTTTAACTAAGCTGGGCCTTAGTTCAAATTCATTGCTCCAAAACAACCAGAATATATTTTTGGCTCTTATTTTCATGTTGCAGTCTTAAATAACAGAGTCCTAGCATCATGAGGGAAAGAATTAAAGGAAAAGCATCTAGAAAAATAATTCAGATTTCCATTTACCAATACCTGATACCTAATACTTCAAAGGAAATCTCATACAGTGGACTTGCTGGACCTTATCTTCCCCTTAATGCCAGAGGCCACATGTGCAATAAATTTGATGTGAGATACATCTTACTTGGCCCTAGAGAAGGCCTGAATTCTCAAAATAATACCTTGAAATTTCTGAAATAAAAAATGAAGATTCTTATTTTTTTAACCCTAGTTGTGATCTTCTGAGTGAGCACAACAGTCAAAACTACATTAATAATCAATCTGTGTATCCTAAAACCAAGCAAGGAAGGATGATGATTAAAATGATGATACAGAATTTGATCAACAGAACCCTTCATCTTCCCATGTAGCATTTAGATTTCAAATATTAAAAATATTTCATGTACTTACTGAAGCTTAGTGAGATCACCTTGGTATGAAGGATAAGGAGTGTTCTACTTATGTCTACTTCTCTTTAGGATTTGTTGGATCTATAGTGTGTGCACAGACACACACACACAATTGCTGTGTGTGTTTTATTTGAACAATCTTTCTATATCACCAATGAAAGACTCTGGCAGAACCTGCAGTAAAAAATACATATTGTGCCATAAAAGAAGCCACTAAATTGGGACCACCTAACTCTTTCTTGAATCAAATTTATTTCAATTCAGAACAAAAAATCAGAGAAAGGTCCAATTTTGTTTTGTTGGGTTTTGTTTTTAGTTGATAATTATTAGAATTAACTATACATTTTACCAGTTTTCTTTCTGATCATTATTTCCTTTTAAGTCTTTACTGATGAATGTATTAGTGTGCAAGAATACACTAAAGAGTAATTCACTCTTAGAATGTCATTACATGGTAGGTTTTTAGTGCTTGCATTTCTGAAAATCATTTTATTTAGCTCTCCATAGTATATACTACTGTGGTTGAGAATGAGTCTAGGTTCTGACTGTTTTGGTTAGTATTGATTTAGTAACCTTAAGGATTGCACTGGGTAAGTCTGATGTGAACCCAATTGTTATTCCTTGTAGATAATCTTGTGATACTATTTATGGTGTTTGTTATGAGTGAAAATGTTTCGCGTCATCCTTGTCCAGGGACCATGCTAATCTTCTCTGTGCCGTTCCACTTTTAGTGTTAATGTGCTGCTGAAGCAAGATCTCTCTGGAAATTTTTATACTGCATTCTTTTTAATTTTTTTATAATTTACCATGATGTTCCTTAAATTGTGCATTTTATATAAAATATATCATAAAAACATATATGAAACATTTGACACATAAGTAAAAAGAAAAAAAAAAATATCTGTGAGCCCGCTAATCACCTTTAATCCAGAACTTTCTGGTCTTCATAGAATTTCCAGTGTCCTTTCACTGACAAAAATCAACATCCTCTTCTTCTGTCTAGAGGACTACTAGCTTCAATTTTGTTTTATCTTTTTTCTTTCTTTAGAAAGTCATCACATATGTGTGAATTCCTGAAAATTATACTTTCATTTTACATGTATTTGACATTTAAATACATGATACCATAACAATAATTATTGGGCTTTTTCTTTGTAAATTGTCTCTGTGTATGTCCATTTATCATCTGGATACTTTATGGGTTTTTTGTAAGTTTATAGGAATCCTATATATAATCTCAGCCCTGAATTCTGCAGTCATATGGGTTGAAAATATCATTGATTAAAGTGCTGTCATATAACACTGACATATATGGCATCTTTAAAAATATGGGGCGCCTGGGTGGCTCTGTCAGTTAAGCCTCTGACTTCGGCTGGGGTCATGATCTCTCGGTTCATGGGTCTAAGCCCCGCATTGGGCTCTGTGCTGACAACTAGCTCAAGCCTGGAGCCTGCTTCAGATTCTGTATCTCCCTCTCTTTCTGACCTTCCCCTACTCATGCTGTCTCTCTCTCTCTCTCAGAAATAAATTTAAAAATTAAAAAAAAAAATTTAATAATACTTGATAGTATCTGGCAAATAAGTCTTACTGTTTGGAAATCCCTTCATTATTCTTGGCATTTTATGACTTAATATTTATGTTTATTAATTTCCACCAAAACCTATTGAAATTTTTATTAGGATTAAATTGAATTTATATTTCATTTTTTATAAATGTGGGATCTTGTGATATTGAATTTTCTAATTTATGAGTATGTGCTATCTCTTCTTGATTTATTAATCTCTATCTAATTATATCAGTACATTTCATGTATACTATAAATTAGACATAAAATATAAACTATATATATATAAATATTATAAATGCATTTTGCTCTGTAACAATTTTACACTTTTGTATGTTTTACATTTTACCCCTTAGGTACATTAGAGTTTTTGACTCTATGTTAAGTGATATATTTTAATTAAATATTAGAAATACTTGTAGTTTTAACATAAAAGTACAATAAAATATTAATTTTGTATAGAAACAAATGTCCGTTGTTAATTTTAATAATTTGCACAATCTAAAATTTCTACAAATCTACTTGTAGATTCTTTCTACCATGTCATCTGTAAAATGGATCTGACTTGTTTTTTCCTATCCCCGTAATAATTTTCTTCAACTTATCGCATTGGACAGTGTCTCAAGCAGAATAGGAAATGACATCAGTAAGAATGGATGCCTTTAGCTTGATTCTGGTCATAAAATAAATACTTTAAATATTTATATTATGTATTTTTCCAGTTATATAATAGTTAATAATTGTCACATTGAGACCACTCCATTTTCTGTTTATTTTGGTAAGATGTTTTTAACATAATCAGCAGGTTCTGAGTCCTTAATACCCATTTTGGTAACCATTGGGATAATTCCTTGATTTTCTCATATATAAATTAGTCAGTTTATATTATTTTTTCTATTACTAAAATACAACAAATTCCTGTGGTAAGTTGAAATTATTCAAGGTATATTATCACCTTAATTTGTTCTTAATTTGGTGTGAAGATATTTAAGATATTTGCATCTATGTTTATATGTGATATTTGCTTATAATTCTACCTTTAAAATTATCTTTATTAGTCTTGGTTAAGAGATTTGGTTAAAGTTAAAGGAGCTAGAGGCAGAGCAACAAGAACGCCCTAAACCCAGTAGAAGAAGAGAAATAGTAAAAATTAGAGCAGAAATAAACAACATAGAGACCAAAGAAACAATTGAACAGATCAATGAAACCAAGAGTTGGTTTTTTGAAAAAGTAAACAAAATTGACAAACCTCTAGCCAGACTTATCAAAAAGAAAAGAGAGAGCACCCAAATAGACAAAATTATGAATGAAAATGGACTTATTACAACCAACCCCTCAGAAATACAAGCAATTATCAGGGAATACTATGAAAAATTATATGCCAACAAATTGGACAACTTAGAAGAAATGGACAAATTCCTAAACACACACTCACTACCAAAATTCACACGGGAAGAAATAGAAAACCTGAACAGACCCATAACGAGTGAAGAAATCGAATCAGTGATCAAAAATCTCCCAACAAATAAGAGCCCTGGACCTGATGGTTTCCCTGGGGAATTCTACCAGACATTTAAAACAGAATTAATCCCAATTCTTCTCAAGCTATTCCAAAAAATAGAAGTCGAAGGAAAACTCCCGGACTCATTTTATGAAGCCAGCATCACTCTGATTCCCAAGCCAGACAGAGATCCAGCAAAAAAAGAGAACTATAGGCCAATATCCTTGATGAATACGGATGCAAAAATTCTCAACAAGATCCTTGCAAATCGAATCCAGCAGCATATCAAAAGAATCATCCACCAAGATCAAGTGGGATTCATTCCTGGGTTACAGGGCTGGTTCAACATTCGCAAATCAATCAATGTGATACATCATATCAATAAAAGAAAAGATAAAAACCATATGATCCTGTCAATAGATGCAGAAAAAGCATTTGACAAAATACAGCATCCCTTCTTAATAAAGACTCTCGAGAAAGTTGGGATAGAAGGAACCTACTTAAACATCATCAAAGCCATCTATGAGAAGCCTTCAGCTAACATCATCCTCAACGGGGAAAAACTGAGAGCTTTCCCCCTGAGATCAGGAACACGACAGGGATGTCCACTCTCACCACTGTTGTTTAACATAGTGCTGGAAGTCCTAGCATCAGCCATCAGACAACAAAAGGAAATCAAAGGCATCAGAATTGGCAAAGAGGAAGTCAAACTTTCACTCTTCGCAGATGACATGATACTCTACATAGAAAACCCGACAGACTCCACCAGAAGCCTACTAGAACTGATCCAAGAATTCAGCCAAGTTGCAGGGTACAAAATCAACGTACAGAAATCGGTTGCATTTTTATACACCAATAATGAAGCAACAGAAAGAGAAATCAAGAAACTGATCCCATTCACAATTGCACAAAAAACCATAAAATACCTCGGAATAAACCTAACCAAGGATACAAGAGATCTGTATGATGAAAACTATAGAAAACTTATGAAGGAAATTGAAGAAGACACAAAGAAATGGAAAAACATTCCATGCTCATGGATAGGAAGAATAAATATAGTTAAGATGTCATTACTACCTAAAGCACTCTACACATTCAATGCAATTCCAATCAAAATTGCACCAGCATACTTCTCAAAACTAGAACAAACTATCCAAAAATTTGTATGGAACCACAAAAGACCCCGAATAGCCAAAGTAATACTGAAAAATAAAACCAAAACGGGAGGTATCACCATCCCAGACTTCAGCCTCTACTACAAAGCTGTCATCCTCAAGACAGTATGGTATTGGCACAAAAACAGACACATAGACCAATGGAACAGAATTGAGAACTCAGAAGTGGACCCAAAAGTATACAGCCAACTGATCTTTGACAAAGCAGGAAAGAATATCCAATGGAAAAAAGACAGCCTTTTTAACAGATGGTGTTGGGAGAACTGGACAGCAACATGCAGAAGAATGAAACTAGATCATTTTCTCACACCATGCACAAAAATCAACTCAAAATGGATAAAGGACCTGAACGTGAGACAGGAAACTATCAACACCCTAGAGGAGAAAGCAGGAAACAACCTCCTTGACCTCCACCGCAGCAACTTCTTACTTGACACATCCCCAAAAGCAAGGGAATCAAGAGCAAAAATAAACTGTTGGGACCTCATCAAGATTAAAAGCTTCTGCACAGCCAAGGAAACAACCCAGAAAATTAATAGGCAACCAACGGAATGGGAAAAGATAGTTGCAAATGACATATCAGATAAAGGGTTAATATCCAGAATCTATAAGGAACTCACCAAACTACACGCCCGAAAAACAAACAACCCAGTGAAGAAATGGGCAGAAGACATGAACAGACACTTCTCCAAAGAGGACATCCAGATGGCCAACAGACACATGAAACGATGCTCAGCATCCCTCCTCATCAGGGAAATACAAATCAAAACCACACTGAGATACCACCTCACGCCAGTCAGAGTGGCTAAAATGAGCAAATCAGAGAACTCTAGATGCTGGCGAGGATGTGGAGAAACGGGCACCCTCCTACACTGTTGGTGGGAATGTAAACTGGTACAGCCCCTCTGGAAAACAGTGTGGAGGTTCCTCAGGAAACTAACAATAGAACTCCCTTATGACCCAGCAATAGCACTGCTAGGAATTTACCCAAGGGATACAGAAATGCTGAGGCATAGGAGCACATGTACCCCAATGTTCATAGCAGCACTCTCCACAATAGCTAAAACATGGAAAGAGCCTAAGTGTCCATCAACAGATGAATGGATCAAGAAGATGTGGTTTATCTATACCATGGAATACTACATGGCAATGAGAAACAATGAAATCTGGCCATGTGTAGCAACATGGATGGACCTTGAGGGTGTTATGCTGAGCGAAATAAGTCAGGCAGAGAAGGACAAATATCATATGTTTGCACGTATAGGAGGATTAGGAGGAACTTGACGGAGGAACAAGGGGGAGAAGAAGGGCGGAAATGGTGGGGGAAAGGGAGAGAGGCAAACCATGAGAGACTCTTGAATGCTGACAAAAACTGAGGACTGATGGATGTGGGGGGGAGGGGGGATGGGCATGGAGGAGGGCACTTGTGGGGATGAGCACTGAGTGTTATGTGGAAACTAATTTGACAATAAACTATTTGTTAAAAATAAAAATAAAAATAAAGAGCAAAAAAAAAAAGAGATTTGGTTAAAGTAACATAGATGTGTTCTCTTTCTGGATTTTGTAATAATTGTGGTAAATTTGATTTATTTGTCCCTTGAATGTTAGTAGTTAAGACTGCCTAGACCTGCCCTTTTATGTAAGATGATTTTTTAAAACCATATTGATTTTTGTGATGGTAGAGTACTATTTAAGTTTTTTTTTCTGAGTCAGTTGTGGCAAATATGTTTTTTTGGAAGCATAAGTTTTCAAATGTATTGGGATAAAGATTTCACAATTTTTCTGTAATTTTTTAAATATTGCTGTCTACTGTTTTCACACATATTTTAGTTTCCTAACATGGTCTGTTTTCTGCCTTCTCTCTTTCTTCATCGATCTTAGTTTGTAAATCTTAAAGGCTTATGAATCTTATTTTGTGAAGCTCAATTTGGTTGATATGTTGATCATATATATTTAATTTTATTTTTATAATTTCTTCTTTGTCCTTTGATATTTTATTACATTCTGTTTTAGTTTTTCTAACTTGCTAAGTTTCATTATAGAAAGTTCTCTACTATAATTTTAATTAGATCCACAAGTTTTATTATATAATTTTATCATTTTATCTTTCTACTTTTATTAAAAACATTTTGTTCTATACTTTTAAAGGAATAGTTATTAATTTCTAAGCAATTGGAATATTCCTACATTATGTGTATTCTTTACTTTTAACTTAATTTAACAAATGATTTTTTTTCATTTCTTGAGACTTGCTTTAGAAATTTGAATGAGATCAGTTTTCATGAGTGGACCTTGCATGGTAGAGAAAAGGGTATATATTTTCTTAGTTATTAGATGTAAAATTACATGATTTATCTAGTATGTTTAGGTGTTCCTTATGTTGAACTTTTAAAATTTTTACTGATATTTAATGTCTATCATTTACAGAGAGAAATGAGTTAAAATTTTCCAGTAGGATGGTGGAACTAGGTCTCCCTTTACTTCAGTCAATTTTTGCTTTATATTTTTGAGATATTTTTAATTAGGTGCATAAAAGATTAGAATCATCAAATTTTCCTGGTGAATTAAAGCATATGTTATTGGTAGTGACTCTTATTTCAAACTTTTATTTCCCTAATTAGTGATTCTTTCATTGATTTCTAAATATCCATACTAGTAATATTTTGGTATTACCCTACAGTTTTTTACTCTGTTATTTTTGTATAATTATTATTTTCATATTTTGATATTTTATTGATAATTTTAGATGTATTTTGTTGATATGGAAAGTATTTGTAACAGGTGGTTTATTTAGTGTGAAATATAACATTTGTATGAAATATATTTGTATAAATATAATGTATCTGCCTTTCCTGAGTTTCAGAATATTTGTTTAAATCAAACTGTATTTGATAATTATCAAATTAGGAAAACTAGAATGTGCTCCTGGAATTCAGATGTGTCACCCTGATTCTTTTGGAGTTCAAGGTTGTAATTTCCTAGACAGAGCAAACCCTGACTTTACCAAACCATAACAATTATTATAAAAAAATAATGGGGGTTGGAGATAGAATGACAGAGAAGTATGTGCATGCATACAAAGAGAAGAAGAGAAAGAGTGAGAAGGAATTTTACATAAAGTATTTTTAAACTTTGTCACACTTCCTATTTGTCAGCTTGTCTTGAATTATTTTAACAAACACATGTCCTGAGAAAAGTAACTCGGTCACAAAAACAAATGATGTTAAGGGTGCCACATCATGGACTTCTAAAGAAATTATGGATAGTACTTAAACATAATTTATTCTCAGAAGTATTATCTTGTTAAGTGGTGACAGATTTATCTACTCTGTATGTACTTATTAGCTTACTAGAAATTTCTGTAGAAAATCTTTACCTCCTGAGTCAGAAGTCGATTAAATATGCTTTAATATTTTTAGAGATACTTATATATGTCTAGAATAAAGAGTTCCAAGGAAACAACCTAAAATTCTAATGTAGCATTTCTGAAATAGAACACATATATGTACTTACATATGCATTAACATATACATTACACAAACATATACACTCTATTTACATAGACTTGTCTAAATTATGCTAATGTTTATTATTGCATATGCCATCAGCTTTCATTAAACTTACATTTCATAAAAGTAAAACAAAATATTAGTTATATCCTTTTATAATAAAAGTTCAATATAATATTTAATAAGTATTTCTGTGTATCATGACTATTGTATGCTAAATCCATCATAAATTTTGGAAGAATAAATTTTGGAAGAAACACTGGAAGAATAACATTTAAAATCTACAGTTTATTTTTCAAATCAAATATACAATTTTATAGTGAGATTTTAGTGACTATCGTTAATATACTGTAGAATTGTTCATTTGAATCTACTGCAGAAAATTTAGTTTATTAGTTATTTTTCTATAGCGTAACACCTGTGTTCGCTTCGGCAATACATATACTATAACGTAACACCTCGATTCTGAATTCTTTCTATTGTCCTCAGATGTATAGCCTTCACAATAAGACAGTAAATATGCATAAATGTATTTGAATTAGAGTAAAATCATATGATTAAAATATTTAAAATATTAAAATTATTATGAATGAAAAGTGTATTTCCCTATATTTGTGCTAACATGGAGCATAGAGTCCTCTTAATTTAATTTTAACATAATTATTTTATTATGCTCTGTTTTAAGATAAGCTGAATTCCATAATTTTTTTGGATGCATGCAACCAGATTCACATAGCACATAAAGTAATAACATGCTGGCATTTAAAACTATAATCTTGAGTATCAGTTTTCTGAAATGCCAGAGCTGCAAAATATCTGGTATTTGAAACGTTTCTTTGTCAGAAATAATGTATTTACTCCTACTTGTTTTATAATTCCCAGTGGTTGACATGAGCATTATGAAGGATTACAAGAAATCACTTATCTTCATTTTATATCTCTGACACTTGTAATATTTTATATTACCATCGATTAAAATAGCACATAAAATGCAATATTGATGTTGGTCTGTATGAATTGCCATTACTAAAAATATTTTTTTCAGTTTATTAATGAGTTTAAAAATTTTTTTTCTAGTTTATTTTTGAGACAGAGCACGAGTGGGGGAGGAGCAGAGAGAAAGACAGACACAGACAGACAGACAGACTGAAACAGGCTCCAGGCTCTGAGCTGCCAGCACAGAACCTGATGCGGGGCTCGAATCCACAGACTGCTATATCATGACCTGAGCAAAAGTAGGGCGCTTAAACGACTGAGCCACCCAGGTGCCCCAAATGAACTTTAAAACCATACAGTTTAACTGTTGGGATATTAGAATTTGGTTCAGTGCCTTTATGCTACTGAGAAACACTGAAACTCAATGTTTACTTGTCTAAACTAACCTTAGACTTAAACCCCACTCACCTGATTACTAGTTAACCAAACTAAGTCACTCTAATTTAGACTAGGGTATTTTAATAATGTACAAGCATGATTTTTTAATGGATTTGTAAGTATTACATCATTTGATCTCCAACTCTTATTCACTGAAATCTCGTTTTGTACATATAAGGATGACTGTTTTTAAAAAGTATCAATGTACAGCACTTGGGTGGATCATCCAGTTAAGCAACAGACCCTTGGCTCAGCTCATGATCTCACAGCGGTGTCAGGCACCATCTCACAGTCATGAGATCAGGCCCCGTGTCTGGCTCTGTGCTGAGGATAGAGCTTGCTTGTGATTCTTGCTCTCCTCCTCCTTCTTCCCTTATCCCCCACTTGCACTCTCTCTCTCAAAATGTTTTTTAAAGATCAGTATCAAAGTAAAACATCGCAAAAACAATTTGCCTGCTATTAATATTCACTACTTTCAGAAACCATGTATGAAACAATTTTCTAGTGGTCTTTATACTCACCATTATATGATTTATTTGACACTAGGTATATCAGTTTTCTCTTATTCTATTCAATTCTTAACAGAATTTAAGGTACTGTAAACTGATTAACTGAATAGTAAAAAAAAAAATAGGAGTTATAGAAGTATTTCTTGATGACATACATAAATATAAGGGGAAAACATGAAATATTTTGTCAAATACCCTATTAGCTAGAGCTGATCCCTTAATAGTATCATAGACAGATAAATAGATGAATCCTTACCTTTTCTCCAGGCATAATTCATTTTTTCTGATGCTTTTTACAGTTAGTGGTATTTGGATGTGAGATGTTATTTTTCCATTCTGCTTTGAGTTCAGTTTTTTATATTCTTGATAGGATTCAAATGCGTATTTTCAGTTTCCTTATTTTTGTTCTCTATAGCATATTGCTGCAAATACAACTCATGTGACTTACTAACCAGAGTGCAGTATTTATGAAGAGATACACTAAAGGCTATCGACAGAGGGAAGAGTAGTAGCACAACAGGTTTTTTTGAGACTAATGGAGCCAAGCAGTTATGCATTGAACAATTGCTTTTCTTAAACTGTAGAGTAGAAACTTTACATATGTGATGTAACTTTGTGTAACTTTTACAGAACTATACATTTTTGCAGATAAAAGAATGATGTGTGAAGAAACTGAAGCTGAGGTGTTAAAGAACAAATTACCCAAATCCCAAAACAATTATGCCACAAAATCTTGTTCCAAATCCTAGTATCCTGTGAGATTTAAATTCAGATTGAAAGCCTGCTTTTACTATTATTTTTGAAAATTTCCTCTTGTTAGCTTAACTTCTCTATGTACAGTTAAACATAGATGACATGTTAGGACTGTTGTGATGATTAAATGATAATACAAGGAAAATGTTTAGAAAATCTTTAGTGGCAAATAAATATTAGATAATTTTGCTATTGCTGTTATTTCAGTTTAGAACTATTTTGTTATTTGGTGATTTTAAGTATTATTATATTGAAATATTTTTGTATTTTGCCATTGTTTTTAAAAGATTTTCCTGTTTGTACAGTAATGTGATACATGACTTCTCACTTAATAGATATCTACTAACTTTTCTGTCTCTTTTCAGTGATTTACTATTTACTGTTTTTATTAACAGTACTTGATACCTTCTAGAAATAAGATTGAAAGAGTACACAAGTACTGACATATATTTTAAATATATCCAATATTTTTTAAATTTTTCTTTATTTTAATACTATAATAATAAAATCATTTCTTGTTTCTGATATGTAATTAGGGCCATATTTTTTCTTTATTTTATTACTATAATAATAAAATTATTTATTTTTTCTGATATGTAATTAGGAACATATAAAAACAGATTTCTTAAATATTTGCCAATACTCAATTAATAGAGCAAATAAATAGGGTTTTGAACCAACTAGATTCTAATGTTTATTCATACCAACAGAATGTGAAAGGTTTCTTTCATATGTAATATATCTTTAATGATTCACATTAATTTCCGTATTGAATATATACAGAAGAAATTGTTATTTTATTATCAAATGTATTCTTTTGATAGTTTAATACTTATTGTATAGTATAATAATGTGAGAAATAGAAATATGAAAATAGAGAATAATAGAGTCTAAATAATTTCTTTTTTTCTCTATGTGACATTTGTCTAACCAAAAAGCACAAATAAAGTTTAATTAGTACTTAGATGGATAGAGGAAACTCATGCATTTTTTTTTTTTTTAGGAAATATATATACAATTCAAGAATGGCAGAAAGTATGAGTCGGTCCTCTTTCATTAGTGGAGCAAAATTCTTACAATTGCCTGGTAACGAATTCTAGGTTTATTAATATCTTTGCAACTTCTAGTTTCTCTAGAATATACAGCAAGATATTTATGGGGAAAATGATGTGGCCATTTCCTGTTCTACATAGTTATATGAATTAATTGCAAACAATTAAAAACCTATTAAATTTTTCCATGCAAGAAGTTTACTATTTTAAATTATGTTATAGTGCCAATAATAAGAAATGTTTTTAAATCTAGAAAACTAAATTGATGATAATTTAAAGAAATTTAAACTCATTGCAAAAACTAATGCATTGTACACAAATATAGGACGGAGAATATTTGAGTGAAATTCGAATGACCAGCAGACAAGAATCACATATGACCTAAATGATAGTTTCTTGTATACCATCCTGCCATTAAACATTATTTAAATTCAGCAAAATTAAAATTCAGTATATCATTTACCTTAAATAATAAAACCTTGAAAAGTCTTTATTACCAAGATTCTCTTGTACTTCCAGAAAGACTTTTATAAATGTTCTTTTTCTGTGTATCTTTCCTTAGGTTTTCCATGCTTATGTTTAGAGTTATCTCTATGCTGTTTAGCATCTTCTTTTCTTATAACATTCTCTAAATGATATAACGTTACAAAGACAGAATTAATGATTGCCTCTGGGGATGAGTTTAATGAAATGAAAATTTATAACTCCAAAAAACTATACCTAGTTTTCTAAATTTAGAACTTGATGTACCTTGGGTGCCATTATTCCACTCTTCTTAAACAGTGTGTCTCTACTGCAAATGTTTTCTTTCATAGCAGGGTCTATGCAATACAAAATCGTATTAATTTAGTGTAAAGAAAATTTATCATTGAATATAGAACTTAGGAATTCAAGCCAGTTTTAATCCAGTAATTCTATATGGTGATATTACACACACACACACACACACACACACACATTTAACCATTTTTTTTTTTAAATTTAAGGGCCTTGTCACAGGATATCCATGAATGGTGAATATTTTATGGATATTAGCAAAAATTGACAAAAATACTGAAGAATTAATTTGATTACACACAGACATATACATGAACACATAGATATATCTGTTATAAATATATGTTTGTATATACATGTATATATTTGTATATACATATATATTTGTATATAAATGTATATGGGTATATATGAATATATATGGATATATATACATGTATATGAGATAATGCTTAAGCTTAAGATTTTTTTCAAATAGAAAGAATATAACATTTTAATAGTGATGATGCCTAAGTTAGAATGTTTTACTTTTTAGTAGTTTCTAATTTTAAACTTTTTATTTTGTCATAATTTCAGTCTTCAGAAAAGTGATAATAGAGCTTAATTTTTCTTCTTTGGTAGCAAATAATCATTATCAAACCTAATAGCATAAAACATTTTATCTTAAAATTTGAAATTTTTATTGCAAGTAACAAGGCAATGTATCATTCACCCAAATTTGTTGCAAGAAAATCCATTTCTTTGAAATTTGAAGATTAATTTATTATAATTAAAATTGTTTAAATTATTATTTGAATTTATATATTTTGTTTATATTCTATTGAAAAAAAATTCACCCTATGTCCAAGTATATTTATGAGAACTTATTTAGGACTAAAATTAGTTCTATATGAAGCAAAAAAATAATAAGGTCAGTTTTCTTGGACATTAATCCATATTAATGATGAAATAAAAGCCATTGTTACTAGGAAATGATTGATATATTTTACCTGTGAAATATATACTTACCTGAGAATTTACAATAAGTATATATCTATGTTTTTATTAGAACATTACTTTTCTATTCTTCAGTACAGCCTAAAAATAGTATTTCCATTTTTCCCTTTAAATAAAGCTACCAAAGAAAACTTAGATTAGAGATGATTTTGTGAGAAGGAAGAATAAAGACATTTAGTTATCATACTCTTTCCTTAGTAGGCATAAGCAGAAACAGTGGAATGGGAGTTTGAAGACCAGCATTCTTATCCAAATTATGTCACTTTAAAAACTGGTATATTACTGAATCTCATTTGACCTCATTCTCTTCAATAAGGGGGTATTAGAGTAAACCTTTCAGATTTCACCTGTTAAAATATCTAAATAGTTTAGAAAATGTGATATATCTTAAAGGGGTATTATAAGATTGAAAAACCAAGAAAAGAATTTTCCACAAAAAAGGTACAATGAGAGATTCTGTAGTAGAGTAGGTGGCACTTTCAAGGTTAGCTATCTAATCCTAGATACTCAATTTTTTTTCATTTTGGTAAAAACACTTAACATGAAATCTACTGTCTTAATTTTTTAGGTGCATAGTACAGTATTGTTAATATATGATGTAGAGTAGATCTCTATAACGTATACATCTTGTATAACTGAAACTTAATACTTGTTTAAGAACAACTCCCCATATCTCCCTCCCTCCATCCCCTGGAAGCCACTATTCTACACTGTTTCTGAGAGCTTCACTATTTGAGATGTCCAACATACATGGAATCATGCAATATTTGTCCTGTAACTTATTTATTTCACTTAACCTCAAGGTTCAATCATGTAATTGCATATAAAAGCATTTCCTTCTGTTTTTAGGTCAAATATTATATGCATATGACAGTTTTCTTCATCTACTCAATCATTGATGGACATTTAGATTGTTTTCATATTTTGGCTTTTTAAATAATTCTACAGAGAAGAAGAGAGTGCAGTTATCTCTTTGAGATCCTGGTATCAATTATTTTGGATATATACCCAAAAGTGGGATTGCTAGGTCACTTGGTAGTTCTACTTTTAAATCTTGAAGACTCTCCTTACTGATTTCCATAGTGGCATCATTATCTTACATTTATATCAACAGTAGACATAGGTTCTAATTTCCCCATGTTCTCACGCACACTTGTTATCTTTGGTTTTCTGGGAGGAGATTAAGGATGCCAAAGATATTTTCCAGTGTCTGTTGGCCATTGTGTATTTTCTTAGAGAAATGCCTCTTCAAGTCCTTGCACCGTTTCTTTTTTATTTTTTTTAATGTTTTTATTTATTTCTGAGAGAGAAAGAGACAGCCTGAGCAGGGGAGGGTCAGAGAGAGTGAGAGATACTGAATCTGAAACAGGCCTCAGGCTCTGAGCTAGCTGTCAGCACAGAGCCTGACGCGTGGCTCGAACCCACAAACCGCAAGATCGTGACCTGAGCGGAAGTTGGACGCTCAACCGACTGAGCCACCCAGGCACCCCGCTTGTACCATTTCTTAAGTTATTTTATTTTCTGTCGCTAAGTTGTAGGAGTTTTTGAAATAGTCTTTCTTTGCTTTTGTTGACTATATTTTGACGATAAATCTAAGAAATTATTATCAAGACCAATGTCATGAGTTTTCCCTATGTTTTCTTATAGGAGTTTCACACTTTCAGATCTTATATACATTTTGTGCTCATTTTTGAATATATGTATCGTATATATTTTATATATGATATAAGATATAACATTCTTTTGAATATGTATACTCAGTTTCTTAAAACATCATTTTTGGTAATCTGTCATTTCCCTATGTTTATTCTTGGTAACTTTGTTAAAGATCAATTAACTGTATATGTATGGGTTTATTCACAAATGTGTGGAAGTTTAACAACATACTCTTGAATAATCAATGAGTCAAAGAAGAAATCAAAAGGGAAATATGAAAATATCTCAATATAAACGAAAACACAGGGTACCAAGAGCTCCTGAATGGCTCAGTCAGTTGAGTGTCTGACTTCAGCTCAGGTCATGATTGATCTCATGGGTTTGTGAATTCAAGTCCCACATTAGGCTCATTGCTATCCATGCAGAACCTGCTTCAGATCCTCTGTCCCCCTCTCTCTGTCCCTACCCCACTTGTGATGTCTCTCAAAAATAAATAAGCATTAAAAAAATACAAAATTCCAAAACATATGGGATGGAGCAAAAGCAATACAAAAAAGAAAGCTTGTAGCAGTAAACATGTACATTAAAAAAGAACAAAGATTTTAAATAAACAACCTGACTTTACAACTCAAGAAACTAGAAAAAGAACAACCTAAGCCAAGAGCTAGCAGAAGAAAGAAATAATAAAGTTAGAGCAGAAATAAATGAAATATAGTACAAAAATAAAAGAAAAAAATTAAAACTGACTTGACTTTTGAAAAGATAAACAGACTTGAAAAACATTTTGCTCGACTAAGAAAGAAAACAAGGTAAAACATAAAATAATAGAAGAGACAGTTACAAGGGATGCTTCAAAAATAAAAAGGATCATAAGGGACTACTATGAACGCTTATACACTAACATATTAGATAACCTGAAAGAGTGGATAAATGCCTGGAAACATACAGCCTACCAAGACTGAGTCATGAAAAAATAGAAAATCTGAACAGATCAGTAATGAGTAAAGAGAGTGAATCAATAATGACAAACCTTCAAGGAAAGAAAAGTCCAGGAGCAGATGGTTTGTCTGGTGAATTATAACAAATATTTGTGTAACAATTCTTCTCAAACTCTTCCAAAAAAAATATTCAAGAAGAGAATACTTGCAAACTCATATTATGAGGCCAGCATTACTTTGATACCAAAACTGGATAAAAATATTATAAGAAAAAAATGCAGGCCAATATTCCTTTTTAGTATAGATGAAAAATCCCTCAACAATATGCTAGTAACCTGAATTCAACAACACATTACTGGAAGGATCATATAACATGATCCATTGGGTTTATCTCTGGGAATGCAAGGATAGTTCAAAATACACAAACAAGTAATGTGGTACACAACACTAATAGAATGAATGGCGAAAATCACATGATCATCTAAATAGCTGTAGAAAAATCATGTGACAACATTCAACATGTTTTCATGATTAAAAAAATCTTAGAAAACTAATTATAGAAGGAATTTACCCCAACATAGTAAAGGCCGTATATGAAAAGCCAATGACTAATATTTTACTCAACGTTGACACCCAAAGCTTTTTCTCTAAGACTGATAACAAGGCCAGGATGCCCACTCTAGCAACTTCTATTCAACATTTTAAAGAAGTCTTAGAGAAATCAGGCAAGAAAAATAAAAGGCATTAAAATCAGAAAGGCAGAAACAAAATTATCTTTGTTTGTAAATGACATGAACACGCAAGTAGAAAACTCAAGATTCCACAAAAAAAAACTAGTGGAACTAAGGAACAAAGTTGTCAACTCACACTGACTTACAGATATTAAAATAAACTGTAGAAAGAGTCCTGATCTTAGATCCATGTTGGTGCAGAAACAGTGACTTACCAAAGATCATACAATCTGTAGTATTAGAACCCAAAACAGATGTCAGTGAGTTGACTTCTTTGTGGGGCAGCAGCAATTGTGGTAGTAGTAATATTAGTGTTAATGATAATAGCAAGTCTTCTGTTGTGTGCCAGGCAGGCACTGTTTATGCTTTACGCACCTTGACTAATTATTACAGCAACCCTGTGCCATAGATTCTATTATCGTGTCAATTTCACATATGCGGAAACTTAAGTACAGGGAGGTTATCCAAGCAAATAATAGAGTTGGTAGTTTGACGGTATAAAATGTAGGTACTCAGGTCTCAGAGTGCAGGCGGTTTTTTAAAAAGTAAAAAAATAGGGGCGCCTGGGTGGCTTAGTCGGTTAAGCGTCCGACTTTCGCTTAGGTCATGATCTCGCGGTTCGTGGGTTCGAGCCCCGTGTCGGGCTCTGTGCTGACTGCCAGCTCAGAGCCTGGAGCCTGTTTCAGTCTGTGACTCCCTCTCTCTCTGACCCTCCCCTGCTCACGCTCTCTCTCTCTCTCCTAGAAATAAAAAAAGAAAAAAAATAAAAAATAAAAAGTAAAAAAATAAAAAAGTTGTTTTCTTTCAAATATCACAAACATAAATTTTTCAACTCAAAAATAATTTCAAAGACACAACTAACACATTTTGCATCAGCTTGATTATTAGCAAAGATAATGCAGTGTATATATATATATGTATATATACACACATATATACATATACATATATAAATATACATATATATGTATATATATGTATATATATACATATATATAGTTAACCCTTGAACAATACAGGGGTTAGGAGTTCTGACCCATCCCCTGCATAGTCGAAAATCTGTGTGTAACTTTCGAGTCCCCCCACACTTAACTAGTAGTAGGCTAATGTTGACTTGAAACCTTCCCAGTAACATAAGTAGTTAATTATCACATATTTTTATATGTTATTTGTGTTACATACTGTGTTGTTATATAAAAGTAAACTAGAGAAAAAATATTATGAAAAACATAAGGCAGAGAAAATATATTTACAGAACTGTGCTGTAAAAAACCTGCATATAAGTGGACCACATAGTTCAAACTGTGTTTCAAGGATCAACTACATTGATCCTTAAAAGCCACTTTTGATTGTAAAGAAAATATGTAATTACTGCCTTCTTTTCCTTGTAGTAGCCCTTAAACCAAGCTCTTTTGAAACTGTAGAAAACAACAAAGGGCCAGTAGGCAGAGATATGAAATTTGATATTTCTCAATAAAAAGAGATAATTATCCTAAGAGTAAAAACAAAACAAATCCCCCCTTTCCTATATGAGAGCGAGGCTCAGGCAGTGGTTTGTTGATAACTGTTTAACCACTGTCTCTCTAGGGAAAAATGTATGTGTTTTATACATAAGGTTAGTATACATTTTATATATAAGATAATATACTACACAATTTACAAATAATAAAGACATTATACTCTTATTGTAAACTTAAAAAGAAAAAAAGAACCTAATGGACAAATTCAGTAATTTGTGAGATATGAAATCAACATGCAAAAAAGAGTTGTGTTACTTTGTTTTGTTTCTTTGCTTCTTAGTTCATTTGCTTTTTAGATTCCACATATAAATGAGATTATATGAAATATTTCTATCACACAGACATTGTTAAATACAGAGAATGAACTATGGTTGCCCAAGGGTAGGTTGATAGGAGGATGAGTGAAATACAAAAAGAGAATGGTTTAATTTACAGTTATAAAATAAGTACTCATGAAGATGAAAAGTACACCATATGGGTTTTGATCAACAATATTATAATGTTTGGTGACAGTAACTACACTTATCATAGTGAGTACTGAATAGTGTATAGAATTGTTGAATCAATATGTTGTACAACTGAAACATATTGTACAGTGTATAACATTGTCCATTATACTTCAATAAAAAAATAGTTGTGCATCTGTAATAAACTATGTGAAAAAAGGAAATTAAGAAAATGATTCTATTTACAATAGCATAAAAAAATAAAATACTTAAAAATAACCTTAATCAAGGAGGTAAAAGATTATATATACTGAAACTATAAAACGTTGATGAAAGAAATTAGAAACAAATGGAAATCATTCTGTGTTCATATATTTGAAGACTTAATATTGTTAAAATATCTATGCTACACAGTGCAGTTTCCAAATTCAGTGCAATCCCTATCAAAATCTCAATAGCATTGTTTATTATAACAAAACTATAACAATTCTGTATGTAACCATAAAAGACCCCAAGTAGCCAAAACCATCTTGATAAGAAGAACATAGCTGACGGAATCCACATTCTGATTTCAAAATATATTACAAAGCTACAGTAATATATATAGTATGGTACTTACATAAAAACAGACATATAGACAAATGGAACAGAATAAAGAGCCCAGAAATAAATCCACACATAATGGTCACCTGAGCTTTGACAGGGTGCCAAAAGTACACAATGCAGAAAAGATGGTCTCTTCAGCAAATGGTGTTAGGAAAACAATATTTACGTGCAAAAGAATGAAAATGGGCAATTACCTTATCTTACACTGTATGCAAATATCAACGTAAAATGAATTAAAGTCTAAAAATGCAAAACCTAAAACTTAAACCTAGAAGAAAATTTAGGGGAAAATCTTTATTACTTTTGTGTAGACAATGACAACAAAGGCACAGGCAATAAAAGCAAAATATAGACAGGTGGCACTACTTCAAAAGATGTCTTCACAGCAAAGAAAACAATCAACAGAGTGAAAGGCAATTTGTAGAATGGGAGAAATTGTTTTTAATTTAATTAGTTTTACAGCAACATTTTTTTGAAAGGAAAAATCATATATTGAAAGCACTTTATAACATAAAAATATCATACAAATACTTGCTTTGGGTAGTTATATTATAATTTCAAGTTAAAATCTGGCTTTGCCCCATTATAAAAGATCTCCTTGGTCAGTGCAACATAGTAACTTTTAGAATATATAGATTTTGATAATATGAAAAATATTAAGAGTTCTTACTTTGTAAGCCAGCCCCACATTCTAAAGCTATGTCACTTGGGATGCCTGGGGGACTCGGCCGGTACAGCAACATTTTTTTTTAAATAGTTTATTGTCAAATTAGTTTCCACATAACACTCAGTGCTCATCCCCACAAGTGCTCTCCTCCATGCCCATCCCCCCTCCCCCCCACATCCATCAGTCCTCAGTTTTTCTCAGCATTCAAGAGTCTCTCATGGTTTGCCTCTCTCCCTTTCCCCCACCATTTCCCCCCTTCTTCTCCCCCTTGTTCTTCAGTTAAGTAATCCTCCTATATGTGCAAACATATGATATTTGTCCTTCTCTGCCTGACTTATTTGGCTCAGCATAACCCCCTCAAGGTCCATCCATGTTGCTACACATGGCCAGATTTCATTGTTTCTCATTGCCTTGTAGTATTCCATGGTATAGATAAATCACATCTTCTTGATCCATTCATCTGTTGATGGACACTTAGGCTCTTTCCATGTTTTGGCTATTGTTGAGAGTGCTGCTATGAACATTGGGGTACATGTGCTCCTATGCCTCAGCATTTCTGTATCCCTTGGGTAAATTCCTAGCAGTGCTATTGCTGGGTCATAGGGGAGTTCTATTGTTAGTTTCCTGAGGAACCTCCACACTGTTTACCAGAAGGGGCAGTACAGCAACATTTTTTAAGGAGCTAGTATGTCTACTACAAAGTGGATATTACTAAGGACATGGAAGGACAAAGTGTGAAGCTTTGAAGCTTATGAATACTAGCAATTGAAAGGAGATAATGAATGTCATGGAGAAGTCATGTTAAATCTCCAGATGTCTACTTCATGCTGTAGTGTGGATTGTAAGGTATAAGTTAAATTTTTTCAATTGGAGTAGCATCTTAAAAGTCCAGGACCAGGCTTGAACTATTCTCTACTATAAAACAGAGAAGTGGTACTTTTAGTTCGGTGAAACACAGGCAGAAAATATTGTTTTAAGTGCAAAACAAATTGTTACTAATGTTAGTATTTATTTCCTATTTATATGTTTAAAGTTATTGATAGTGGGTTTTTTAGAATTAAAATTGATAATATCTAAATTTTCCTACAGTTTTAGAAAATTGGATATAATATGATGTTTGTTCCCCTTGCTTAAAACAGAGTTCTTAAAAAGTATTCAAAAAGAAAGTATTCATCAGTCATTTTATCTTTCATGGCACTCACTTTTAACAGTTTTTTCTTTCTTTTTCTGTGTTACTGACAATGTTATGTAGACACACAGAGACATACACATACAGAGGAGAACAATAATTCAAACCTAAAGCACCTTGCAAATAACCATACCATTGCAGTTGATAAGTCATGATGTAGAATATTTATAGAATTTTATAAAATCAGACATGACTAATTAATGATCTATTAAACTACTTTATTTTTTTCACATAAGGAGACCAGAAGTTTGACATATTTCTTTCAGGACATATACATTTCTAAAGAAAGATTTTTTTGTTTTATGGTATTTCTTTTTTTTAATGATATTTCTTCTGTAGTATTAATCACATTTGAAAATCCTTAGCCATCAGTCTAAGCCTTTGCAGTGAATTAATCATATATTCACTGAAAAACAAGCCCACACAGCTACCAATTCTTTAATATTTGTATTTCACTTTTACAACTCAAGGGAAAATTTATTGGTAAAAGAGGAAAAACATCTTCTATATACAAACTGTGTGATTAAAAGGCTAAATTGAGAAGTGAAACATACGGCAGGGTTGTTGAGTAAGAGGTTGTCCTGTACATGGATCTTTGCCTTTGAATTGGTTTCCTACCTTGTTTCACTTCCACTTTTGGTTTTAGTACTAAGGAGGCCGGGTAAAGAGGGTTAGAGATACAACCTGCAGCTGACAATCAATTGTCTCTGCTGCTCATCCTTATGTGTGAAGAAAAGTTACCAAATAACTAAAAGTGAGAAAACTAGATACTTCTTAGAGACATGTATAATTCTCATTGATAGGAGGATATTTATATTGCTTTATTATATTTTTATTTTAATGGCCAAAATTCTGTATTTCATTTAAGTGGCAACACATTTTTTTCTGTAATCATTTCCATGTATTTCTGACAGCTCATAACCCACATTTGAGACAATATCCTTTGCCATAGGTCAAGGTATAAGTTGATTAATAAAGTCATTTAAAGATCATCCTCATAGTCCTTATGGAAGAATTAAGTAACTTAGGTCAGAAATCAGAGCTACATATAAAGACTCAAAAAACTATGTGTACTTTCTCCATGGATTTTAGAGAGTATAAAATCTTAATTTCTCTTATGTAGTGGAAATTTTAACAAAAAGTCTACTTATGCTAGTCTATAAATTGGAAGAAGGGTACTAAACTGGGTGACACAACTTCCAAGTTGAGCTAACCATTAGAAATGGAGTAAAGTGGGATGCCTGGTTGGCTCAGTCAGTTAAGTGTCTGACTTCCCACTCAGATCATAATCTCACAGTTGGTGAGTGGGATTCTCACTGAAAGTGCAGAGCCTGCTTGGGATTCTCTCTCTTTCCATCTATTTCTGCCCCTCTCCCTCTTGTGTGCTCTTTGTCTCTCTCTCTCAGAATAATAAATAAATAAACTTTAAAAAATGCCCTTTGAAATGGAGTAAAGTTACATTGAGAAGAGTCTTGTCAAATGAGATTGGGCCATATCCATATCCTTTTGAGCTAAATAAATTGCAGAATTATATGTGTGTGTGTATGTATGTATATATATATGTATGTGTGTGTGTGTATATTATACCATAACATGCCAATATATATTAAAAACTGTGCAAATTTAATGTATACAACTTGATGACTTGATGATTTTGGAGATACATATACACCTATGAAACTATCAACACAATCTATATCATAAGTATTATCCATAACCTCCAAAAGTTTCCTCCTACCTTTTTTAATAATTATTATCATCATCTGTATGATAAGAAGACCTAACATAAGATCCCCTCCTAGCAATTTTTTATACATACAATACTGTATTGTGAGAAAACTAAACATATCCTTATCCTGCAACCCAGCAATTGTACCCCATGGTATTTTCCCAAATAAGATGAAAAGATATGTGCATGCAAAAATGCACATAAATGGGGGGCTTGGGTGGCTCAGTCAGTTAAGCGACCAACTTCCGCTCAGGTCATGATCTCACGGTTCGTGGGTTCAAGCCCCGTGTCGGGCTCTGTGCTGACGGCTAGCTCAGAGCCTGGAGCCTGCTTCGGATTCTGTGTCTCCCTCTCTCTCTGACCCTCCCCTGCTCACACTGCCCCTCCCCTCTCAGAAATAAATAAAACATTAATTTTTTTAAAAAAATAAAACAAAAATTCACATAAATGTTTATAGCATCTTTTTCATTATTGCCAAAATTTAGAGTCAAACAAAATGTCCTTTGGTAGGTGAATAGATAAAAAATATGTGGTATATCTAGGCAATGTAATATTACCCAAAGCTAAAAAGAAATGAGCTTTCAAGCCATGAAAAGACATTGAAGAATGTTAAGTGCATCTGAATAAATAAGAGAAGCCACCTGAAAAAGCTACCTATTCTATGATTTCAGCTATATGAGTATGAAGACTGTAATAAGACCAGTGGTTGCCAGACGTAAAAGGGAAAGATAGGATGAAACAGTAGAGCACATAGATTTTTAAGGCAATGAAATTACTCTGTATGATACTGTTGGTTGATATATGTCATTATGTGCTTAAAATAATTCATAGAATGTACACCACCGAGAGTGAACACTAATGGAAATTATGTGTTTTTGGGTGATAATGATGTCAATGGAGGCTTATCAATTGTAACAAATATACTACATTGGTGGCAGATGTTGATAAATGGAGGAAGCTATGCATGTATAGGTGCATATCTGGGAAATCTCTGCCCCTTATCATCAATATTTCTGCAAACCTAAAAATTATCTAAAAATTAAATATACTTTAAATGTTTGGAAAGGTAAAGTTTAAGCTAAGCATAAATAATTTGGAGTCAGCAATGTGAAGTTCTAGAAGAATTGTATTATAGGCAGAGGAAACAGTGTGAAGCCTTGAAAGCGTAATGATCTGTATAGTTAAATATAGAACTAAATCCAGTGTGACAAGAGCATGGTATACAATTTTGCTACCACATGAAGGCAGATAAGTAGTCAGAATCCAGATCATTAAAGGCTTTATAAGCTAGAGCCAAAGAAAAGCTTATGCTAAATATGACATCAATATACTGGAAAATTTAGAGTAATGGAGGAACATGATGATTTCTGTGTTGAGAATGAGATGCTGGGTGGTTATGAGAGTTGAAGTAGGCAGTTTTACCTGCATTTAGGGGGCTTTGGGATTTCCAAGTGAAAATATAATGGCTGATTGGATTTCTAAAGTAGAAGTGATAGAAATGGAGGGAAGTAGAACAATTTAAATATTGATGGTAGCCAGGTAGGACTTAATAATAGATAAGCATGGTAAATAATAATAACAGTTATGAATGACCCACCAATTTTTGATGAGTCAGAACTCCTCATTTACTGAGTTGGTGAAAACCTGGGGAAAACAAGTTTGGGTGGAGCGGTGTTGAGTTCTCTTTGGGACATGTTAATTTTGACATGTCTAGAAGACAGTAAAGTATATGCTTTAACTTAACATTTAGACACATGATTTTGGAACTAAATGGAAAGGTCAATACTAGATTTAAAATGCAGGATTCACGGCACCTGGGTGGTTCAGTCGGTGTAAGCATCTGACTCTTAGTTTCATCTCAGGTCATGACCTCATGGTTCATGAGTCCATGCCCTTCATCAGGTTCCGTACTAACGGTGCAGAGCCTGCTTGGGATTCTCTTTCTCCATATCTCTCTCTGCCCCTATCCCGGTCACTCTGTCTGTCTGTCTCTCTCTCAAAAATAAATAAACTTAAAAAAATAAAATGAAGGATTCAACAGAATAAGAATGACATATAAAGCCATGGGAATGGATAAAACAAATGTAGACAAACATATAGACAGAAAAGAGGGGCTAGGATAAAAAGACATTGTAACTGGAATTCCAAGAGGTTCTTGGGGGACCTTCATGCATTTCATTATGATGGCAAAGACAAGAGCTCAATTCTTCTTATACTATACATTAAATTTTAACCTAAAACCTAACTTTTGAATACAATGTTAAACAATAAGGGGTTTATTTTTTAAGGAATAGGGGATTTTAAAAAAACATTTTAATGTTTATTTTTGATACAGAGAGAGAGAAGGAGAGAAAGCACGAGTGGGGGAGGATTGGCAGAGAGAGAGAGGGAGACACAGAATCAGAAGCAGGCTCCAGGCTCTGAACTCTGAGCGGTCAGCACAGGGCCCGATGTGGGGCTCAAACTCATGAACCATGAGATCATAACCTGAGCCAAAGTTGAAGTTGGAAGCTTAACCTACTGAGACACCTAGGTTCCCCTAGGGGATTTTAAATAATTCCTTAAATCCTCAGAGAGATGCTAACATTTTCAAAAAATTTTGAAAATCTGACTATAGCATTTTACTATAAGCACAGGGAGAGGAAGAATGATTTTCCTGGGAGAGGGAGAGGAGAATAGTGGGGCAGGATTTGACTCCTTGTCATTACAGCTGAGTCAGATCTGCAAGGTCGGTAGGGCAGCCTGGAAGACCATAAATTACAATAGCCATGAATCCTTGAATAGTTAGTGTGGGGGAACAAAGGCCAATGTTTAAAGACCAGGCAACATAATTATACTTCTATTCATAGAAAGCTAGCTCTTGAAAGTATGTGGAATAGGAATATCAAGGTGAAGCTTTACTTTGCATTCAGAATTTATATTGGGATGGATAAAAGTGAGAGAAAATCACTTAGCAAGTCCTGCAACAATGTTGAGTTTATCTGAGAATGTTGAAGAAATTTAATTGCCACTATCTGGGCATTCAAAGAGTTTTGCATTCTGCTCTAGATTCCTTTTTTTTTTTTTTTTTTTTTCATCACATTTATAGGACTTACAGATCACAAGAAAGTTTAACATAGTTATAAAAATACAAAGTTAATTGTTGTCCCATCTAAAGAATACGTAAATGCTTTCACTCTGTTAGACTCTGTTGACTTCTGGATAATTTGATTTTGTGTAAGTATTAGCAATTTATCAGGCATGTCCTAAATATGCCTTGTTTACAATTACTTATTTTGTTTGTGCACCTGGGTGGCTCAGTTTGTTGAACGTCTGACTCTTGATCTCAGATCAGGTCATTATCTCACGGTTGTGGGTTTGAGCCCCATGTTGGGCTCTGTGCTGAGCATGGAGCCTGCTTGTGATTCATTCATTCTCTCTCTCTCTCTCTGTCTCTCTCCCTCTCCCTCTCCCTCTCTCTCCCCTTCTCTCCCTCCCTCCTTCCCTCCCTTTACTCCTTCCCCCCACACACCAAAAAATTAAATAAATAAAATAAAAAATAAATTTACTTACGTTGGTAATTTGGAAAATTTTTATTTTCCTGTCTTTTAAATAGAGAGTAGTTGGCTACTATATTCTATTTAAAGAAAGAAAAAAAAAACTCTTAGTAAGTAATTGTTAAAGTTTCCACATATCACAAACCTGTCTCCTCTCTCATGATAAATAATTCTACTTAACCTTTTCGTTGATGCTTTTAAAGTCTTGATTCCTGTGTTAGTCTCACCAAATTCATCACTAATTTCTATAATGAAAAAATCCAAAGTAATTTCTATTAAATTCTACCAAATTCCAGTAAAAGCATACTCAGCAGATGACACAGATTTTTTATAAGAATCGCATATTTCAATTCAAACTTTAAATTGAGTCAATTATTGTTTAATCCAATTTGGCTTAAAAAAACAAAACTAACTTACCCAGTGTGTTTACATTGGCTTTGAAGTGGAATTTAACGTCCATCAACCTGGCTGTGGCTGTTTACACTTCAGGGATGGCTATATAGGTTCATGAGGAAGCACTCTCTCTCTCCCTTTCTTCCTTCCTTCACTCTTTCGAATATCCTTCCTTCTTTCGAATATAACTTGTAATTTGTATTTATTCTTTCTGATTTTTTTTTACTTCTTCTGATACTCCTATAGTTCTTTATTTAAATCTGTGGATGAAACTTCAGACTCTTTGATTCAATAGATTGAATGTACCTCCTTTTATTTTTTTTGAAGTCTTCATTTTTTTTATCCATGCATCCAATGTCATTAACTTCTACATCCTGATTTTAATATTCTTTGAACCCTTTCTAGGGATCTTTCATTGAACCCTTCATGTCCCCAAACTTAGCATAAGTATCCTCCAAGTCCTTCAATGAACCATTTCTTATTTTTTCTTATGTTCCTTATATTTTTATGATGATTTTATGAGTCTTTCTTTGTCTTCTTATTTGCCCTATTTTAAAAATTATTGGATTCTTTGAGGCCTCCTGTCATAGGTTTGCTAAAATTGTTTTATTGAACATGCTTTTGAATTATTTTCCAAGGCCTACTTGCCTTGCTTTGCATCCTTCTTTGCATCCTTCTTTGTATCCTTCTTTGCATCCTTTGCATCCTTCTTTGAATCAGGAGACTCTGTGTCAGTATCTTTCTTTGCATCTTTTTTGGAATTCTTCTTGGTGTCTTTCTTGGTATCATCCTTTGATTCAATATCTGTCTTACTGGACTTCTTTTCATCTTTCTTATCTTTTTTACTTCCCTTTGTCTTTGCATCTTTCTTGGATTCTTTCTTATTTCTTGTTTCATCACCTTTCTCTCCTGGTTTCTTTAAATCCTTTTTCTCATCCTTCTTGGCAGCCTTCTTTTCATCTTCAGATTCTATACTTGATCCTTTGCTCTTTGAATCTTTATCTTTTTTGGCATCTTGCTTTAAATTCTTTTTTTCACCTTCAGATTCTGTTCCTGACCCCTTGTCCTTTGAATCTTTCTTATCATTCTTGGCACCTTTCTTGGCATTTTTCTTTTCACCTTCAGATTCTGTAGCTGAGGACTCCTTGATCTTTTTTGAATCTTTCCTTTCCTTCTTGGCCTCCTTCTTTTCACCTTCAGATTCTATTCCTGACCCCTTGTCCTTTGAATCTTTCTTATCCTTCTTGGAACCTTTCTTGACATCTTTCTTTTCACCTTCAGATTCTGTAGCTGAGGACTCCTTGATCTTCTTTGAATCCTTTCTTTCTTTCTTGTCTCCTTTCTTTTCACCTTCAGATTCTATACCTGACTCCTTACCCTTCTTTGAGTCTTTTCTTTCTTTTTTGGTATCTTTTTTTGCAGCTTTCTTTTCCTCTTCAGATTCTCTAGATGTACCTGACTCCTTAGCCATCTTGGTACCTTTCTTCTCCTTCTTGGCATCTGTTTTTGCAACATCTTTTTCACCTTTAGTTCCTGTTCCTATATCCTTATCTATTTTTGATTCCTTCCTAGTTATTTGTGGCCCCATTGAAACTGTGGATTCTGTTTCTGATTCTGATTGGTATCTCTTGTGTGCTTTCTTGTCTTCTTTATCTTTCTTACCTATTGCTGGAGGTGCAGGTTTGTGTGCATGTGCTGCTTTAGCATCCCCCTTGGAGTGATGGGTTGGTTTATGTGGAGGCCTCATCCTGGCAGCTAAATAATCAGATGGTCTCTCAGAAATTCTCATTAAAGAACTGTGCATCCATAATGGTCGTTTAGGACTTTCTTTTAATTTCTCTTCTTCATATTTCTGAAATATTGGTTAGAATAATGATGAACAATTTGTGTATGAGTTACATAGCCTTTATTCCTGATATCAAAAGCATTTTAACTTCAGCTATTGAAAGATTTTAGATTTTGATAAGCAGATAAATTGCAGATATAATAGTTTATTTTACTTTTCTAATTCCATTCTTGCTTGGACTAATTGATAGTCATGTCTCATTGTGGGCCTTATTTCACTTTAGAGGAATTTCGTAATTCCTCAAAATAGTATGTTAAAATTGGTAGAGACCTCCACTGACTAATGGCATATCAGAATTTCTCTTCACAATCAGGGAGGCCTTCCCCCTACCCCAAGTGTTCTGGAGAATTCTTAGAATATTCTGCCCACTTTCCATTCCTAGGCTAACTCAGAAACTATTCTCTAATATCTAATAGTTTCATGTTCAGCCATATCCTTGTTTGTATTATCACATTCAGTGCCTCTGGAATTTGGAATTCTACATGTGGTTAAAAGTAAATGCCTAAAACTCCTACTGCTTGGCAAGATATAAATTGATATCTTTCAGATAGGCAACCACAATAATAAAAGCTGTAACATTAAGTGCAAGTAAACTTGTGCAGAATGGTACGTTTTATTTTCAGCTCCTAACCAAGTATTTTCAAAATCTTAATTGCAAAAAAACAAAAACAAAAACCTTTGCAAGTAATGTTAACAAATAATAGAAAAATAAATAGAATAATGAAAGAAAGGAAGAGCAAAGAATGTGAGATGACAGAGTAAGCTAGAATCAGTACTGATTGAAAACACTCCTTAAAACAAACAAGAGTTGATGATACATTTATCTTGTGAATGCTTTTTTTTTTTTTTGCATTTCTCATCCCATGATGACTCCAGACACATTAAGAAATATTTATCTTCCAATATTCATAATTCTGAATTCTACAGTGAAGAAATATTAAAAGTTCATCAAGGTATAATATGTCCCCATGATTCCAGTGAGGGAGTGTCTCTAGTTAGGGAACATTTTCTGAATGTTCATATTAACTGCAGCATTAGGATCACCAGATTTTTGTGCTTCTTGAACAGATATTTTCTATAGTGTGGTGTTACTAAGGAAATAGTTAATGTGAAATAAGGGGGCGATATTTATACAGTGAAATACAAATAAAATATATCTACTTTCTTCAAGTAGTAGATTTGAATTACCTTTAACTGTGCTGTCCAATATGGTATTTAAGCCACAAGTGAAATGAATTGAATTGAAATGTAAAATTCAATTCCTCAGTTGCACTAGCCTCTTAAAATTAATGTTCAGTAGCTAAATTGGAATGCAAAAGCATAAAATATTTCCATCATCACAGAAATCCCATTGGTCAGCACTGATCTATAACACATATAACTATACATGATTTCACACATTTATCACTAGTAAGATTATATGATCTATTCAGTACTCACAGGAACTGTATTGTCTCGTAGTTGGGATGGTATTGATCTCCTTTTTTTCCCTGGCCGTGGTGGTTTGGGAAATGCCAGGGCAAAGTGCTGCTGATTCCATGACTTTTTGCTTAATTCACTGACTAAAATAAGAAAACATTAAACTAACGTTTTAAAGTAAGTAGAATATCATCACATCTAAAACAGCAGTAAGATAATAGATTTCATGAATAAACAGTGGTTTCATTTATTTATATTTAGAATTCTCTCCTATTAATATATAAAAGTAAAAATTTATTTCTGTATTTTGATCAGTTTCACAGGTAACTAGTCAGTGTAAAACTAATATAGTCTGTGATATAAATGTAAAGAAACATCTTTTCTGCTTTCTTGTAATCTTTCTGTCTTTCCAAGTCTAGATTCTTGCTTTAGACTCTTTTGTTTAGAATAAATTTTATCAAGATTAGAAAATATGATAACTACTTCTGTAGCTTCCAAAGTACTTAGCACAGTACTTGTTATAAAATATCTAGTAAATATGTGATTGAATCTAATGCTTAAGATTCCTTTAGTTAGTAATCATTTTCCAAGCTACAAGAGTAAATGTTATACACTTAATAACAGCATTGTTGTTATTGAGTGATGGGTATTAAAGAGGGCGTTTTTTTGAACTTGTACTGGGTATTATAAATAAGTGATGAATTGCTAAATTCTACTCCTGAAACCAGTATTACACTATATGTTAACCAACTAGAAATTAAATAAAATTTTGAAAAATATAAGTGACACATTAATGAAAAAATCTAATAAATTACGAGCACCTACAAAATTGTAACTGTAAGGGAAAAGTCACTTGGAAACTATGAGAGAATGGTGAGAGACATTTAAGGTACAAATGAAACTAGTGAGAGATTTTTCACTACATTTAAACATGTGCAGTAGTGCTTTGTGTAAGAGAAATTATACTTTTCCCACGAGTCTCCTGAAAACAGGATCAGTGAGAAATTATACAGAATTAAAGGCATATTTAAGCTCAATATATGAGGGAAAATCATTTGATATATGAAATCCTTCAACATCAGATTGTTGAGTTTTTGGCATATTAGAGGGATGTAGTCTAGCAGGAAGGTAGTATAAGTCATTGTAGACACTGGTCAGTTGTTTATATAATTTCTGCACTACTTTTCAACTGTAAGATTATCTGATTCATGATTTCTAATACATATGATTTCTAACCTAACACCTTTATGTTGTTGAACATATTTGCTTAAACTTTGATTTAAAAACAAAATATCTTGGAAAGTTTTTGCTGAGTCTATGAGTAAGGTGCCTTATATGTAAAATGGTTGATTTTTAATAATATTCTGTAAAAGATCTTGCTTTATCACTCTGAATAGAGGATAGTAATCACTTATTCTTAGAAGTAGTCATAATCTAAATCTGGCCATTTGTAGCAACATGGATGGAACTTGAGGCTGTTATGCTGAGAGAAATAAATCAGACAGAGAAGGACAGATACCATATGTTTGCACATATAGGTGGATTAGGAGGAACTTAATGGAGGGCCATGGGGGAGAAGAAGGGGAAAAATAGTTGGGGAGAGGGAGAGAGGCAAACCATGAGAGACTCTTGAATGCTGAGAACAAACTGAGGGCTGATGGGGGTAGGGGAGAGGGGAAAGGGGATGATGGGCATGGAGGAGAGCACTTGTGAGGATGAGCACTGGGTGTTATATGGAAACCAACTTGACAATAAACTATTAAAAAAAGAAGTCATCATAATCCTAAAATTAATGTTTCAATAATAAATATTCTATCTTACCTGGAATGTAGTTATCATATGTTCCAAAGTTTATTTTTTGGCTATTAAAATAAGAGAGAAAGTTTTTAATTAATTTATGTGTAATCACTCTATTTAATGATCATTATTATGCATAAGAACTTGCCAGCTAGAAATATTGTGCATTCTCAGATCTCTACTAATATGTAAGATTACTTCATCCTAGAAGAAATAGAGATGAGTAAATGCGTGTCTTTTGCACAAACTTTAACATAACTAAAACGAAGTAGATAAAAACAGTTTTAAACATTACCAAATTGTTGCATCTGAAATATAAACTTTTTAAAAATTGTGACTTCAAAGTTGAATTATTTTTCTCTATCTCATGCTCCAAATTCTCTTGCAATTTAATTTTAGCAATTATGTCATTTTAAAAGCATTACTTAAGCAAAATCAGCTCAAAATATTCTCAGAACTTAAGCCAATTTGAATCATTCAATGACATAGTTGTATGTCTGTGAATGTGTGTCTGTCAGTGTGTCAGTATGCACTATAAGTATCGATATGGAGTCTTATTTTTTTAAAATTGTGATCTTTAGGAATATCTGTGATATAAAACTCTGTTGCAAAGTATATTTCACTTCAAAGTTTCCATGTGTTTTAGTACTATATGAGCATGTTTGTTCCCATAAATGGGTATTTTATTATCTAATTTTTATTTATTTGTATGGGAGGGTTACATTAATATCTAATATAAAAATGTTATTTTACCACATCTCATTGCATTACAGAAATAAAGCCATTGTTGATCCTGTGTGAGTTTCGGGTGCACACACACACACACACAAGCACACATACATAGGATCTTACTTATTTTGAAATTATATAGATATTAAGAATAAAGTACATTGTAGAATCTAAAAGACAAAACAAACAAATAAAGTGAATAAACAAAAAGCAGAACCATTTCCAAAATAGAACAAACTGATGGTTTGCAGGAGAGAGCAAAATGGGTGAAAGGGAATGGGAAATACAGACTTCCAGTTATGGAATGACTAAGTCACTAGAATAAAAGAGAACAAAAGGCACAGTATAGAGAATATAGGCAGTGATACTATAATAATGTTATATGGTGACAGATGGTAGCTACACTTGGGATAAGGATAACATAATGTGTAGAGAAGTCTAATACCTATGTTGTACCTGAAATTCACATAACATTGCATGTCAACTATACTCAAAAAATTGAAGAATAAAGTACATTAAAGTAAATATCTTGATATCTTTATTTAGACTCTGTTTCTCAGTACAAAACTTGTCACATTTTTGTTACTCTATAAACATTTACATGATATTAACTGAATACAATTTAGGATGTATTAACCAGTAAGTTACCTAGTCTAGTGTTGTTTTTAAGCTTTTATTTAAATTCCAGTTAACATACAATGTAATATTAATTTCATGATACAATATAGTGCTTCCACACTTCCAGACATCACTCAGTGCTCATCATAAGTGCACTCCTTAACTCCCATCACGTATTTAACCTACACCACCACCCATCTCCCTACTGGCAACCATCAATTTGTTCTCTGTAGTTAAGAGTCGGTTTCTTGGTTTACCTCTCTCTCTATTTCTTTAACATTTGTTCATTTGTTTCTTAAATTCCACATATCAGTGAAATCGTATGGTATTTGTTTTCTCTGACTCATTTTGCTTAGCATAATACTCTGTAGCTCCATCCACATAATTGGGTTTTGTTGGTGGTGGTGGCTTTTCTTTTTAACTGAAGACATGCGTTAAAATCACTTGCCCCACCATATCTGAACCTCTAGGTTTGGATTTAGCCAATCTGAATCACTAGGTTTAAATCTAGCCAATGTACATTTATACATTGTTGAAGAAATTTTAATGTTCAGCCATGGTTATGAATATCTCTGTTTTAAATACTCTAAAAGAAAATATTTCAGGTTCATGAAACAGTATTATTAAATTTGCAATTTAAAAATTGTACATAGGAATGATCCATTAATTCTTTGTATAATTTCTAGAGTAATTTCTTTAATCACCCAGCAATTGAATTAGAAATCATAATCCTTATATATAGAAAATACATAATTCTTTTAAAAATTGTTCTTCTAAATAACCTATGATCAAACAGAAATCACAATGGATACTTAGAAAAAGAAGCAACTAACAACAATAACATAGTATCAACAATTGTGAACTACTGTTCACAAAGGAGAATTTATAGTTTTAATTCATTGTATTAGAAAAGAGTTTAAAACAATGTTTTAAATCCCTAACTTAAAATTATGAAAATATGAAAAAATCAATATAATTAGGAAAATATGAAACCAAATTCAAAGTTAGAGGGAGTAAATAATAAAGCCAGAAACAAAGTGAACAAAAATTAGAACAAATTAAAAAATCCAAAAAAATTTGTTTTTTTTGAAAAATTACTAAAATTGACAATACAAAGAGAAAAAACAAATTACCAAAATCAGGATTGATGCAAGTTTTTTAACTATATAGATTTTAAAGGATAATGGGGAATATTATTTATAATTTTATAGCAAAATATCCAGCACCTTAAGCGATATAGATGAGCACCTTGTAAAATTAATTTAGCAAAACAGACATATGATTAAATAATAAATATGTGAATGGCTTCATAATAAGTAAATTGAATCCATTATCAAAAACCTTCCAAGAAAGGAAAGCACAGACCTAAACTCTGATTTAAAAAAAATTTAGTAAAAATACTAACTCTGCACAGGTTTTAAGAAACAAGAGGAAAGGGAAACCCATTTTTTGACACCAATATAAATAACCTTGACACTAAAACTTCTTAAAGACATTATGATAAAAGAGTATATAGATCAATATCTTGCCTTAACACCAACACAAAAATTCCTTAACAATTTTTTAACCAATCTTAGTGAACGTAGATAAAATGACAACTACATCATGGTCATTGAAATTTACTTGATGAATATAAGGTTTGTTTGACAGGAATAAATCCACCCAGACAGTCACTACAAATAGCACATAGGAAAATTCATCTAGTAGGCAACCAACAGAATAGGAAAAGATAGTTGCAAATGACATATCAGATAAAGGGTTAATATCCAGAATGTATAAGGAGCTCACCAAACTTCACACCCAAAAAACAAACAACCCAGTGAAGAAATGGGCAGAAGATATGAACAGACACTTCTCCAAAGAGGACATCCGGATGGCCAACAGACACATGAAACGATGCTCAGCATCCCTCCTCATCAGGGAACTACAAATCAAAACCACACTGAGATACCACCTCACGCCAGTCAGAGTGGCTAAAATGAGCAAATCAGAGAACTCTAGATGCTGGCGAGGATGTGGAGAAACGAGCACTCTCCTACACTGTTGGTGGGAATGCAAACTGGTGCAGCCCCTCTGGAAAACAGTGTGGAGGTTCCTCAGGAAACTAACAATAGAACTCCCCTATGACCCAGCAATAGCACTGCTAGGAATTTACCCAAGGGATACAGGGGTGCTGATGCATAGGAGCACATGTACCCCAATGTTCATAGCAGCACTCTCCACAATAGCTAAAACATGGAAAGAGCCTAAGTGTCCATCAACAGATGAATGGATCAAGAAGATGTGGTTTATCTATGCCATGCAATACTACATGGCAATGAGAAACAATGAAATCT